GCAAACAGTCATAATTTCGCACATGGTGCGAAAGAATGGGCCGGCCCATTTTCGTTTTTTTCTCTATTCTGTTTTGACTTTTTTCTTTTATGCTTATTTCTTATTTTTTGCTTTCCAAGTTTATTTTTATTTTTTCCTTTTTTCATAAATTCTATTTTTCAATTTTTTCAGCCATTTTTGTGTAAATATTGGCAAAATCACTAGAATTTTAAAAAAAGTCCCATCTTGAATTATATTCTTTAAAAAATTCTTCTCCTTCCAATTTTCTTCAAAACTAAAGAAATGTTCGCATTTCTCAAAAAATGTTTACGTTTTCAAATTGTTTGAGATTTTCAAAATAAGTTGTATTTTAGAAAATGATAAAAATTCGAAAAGTATTCATGTTTATTGAAATGGTCAAAAATTTAAAGTATTGTTTGAGCTTAAAAGCACGTTTATTTTTTTTCAATGTTCAAAACATGATTCCATTTTCACAAATTGTTCACAAGTTCAAAAATAATTGTTTTATTAGAAAGAGGTTCATGTTTTCAAAAAATGTTTGTAAAAAAAACATTTCACATTTTGTTCGTCTTTTTCCAGATTTAATGAATTTTAAAAAGAATGCTCACATTTTTTAGAAAAAGAATTATTATTTCAAACCTCATTCACATTTCGAAGAATATTGAGAATTTCATAATTATTAATTTATTTATTGAAAAGCTCAAAAAAGATGAGAAAAATGGAAAAATGTTTTGAATGTTACGCTACATTATGTACTTAAACATTCGTGTTGGCCATTTTTTAACAGGAGCTGTTTTTTCGAATGGCTATCAGCATGTGGTCGAGATATTGAGGTCATGGAACTAATCCTTCAACTGAGCGGTTGTTTTGGATTTTTGTTCGTATCTTACAAACACATGTTGTTTTGGTAACTGCCAGTGGCCTAACCTAGATGCGAACTGTTGTGCATCCCCCATGTCATTTGACCATAAAAGAGAATATGTTGGTTGGCTATAATTCAAAGAAATTGTAGGCACATACCAATAAAAGAGTATATGCTGGTTTGGCTCTGAATAAAAAAATGTAGACAAGTAAGCACTAAAAAAAGAGAATAAACCTTGGTAAACCAGGGCTACCTGGTTATGCACTGATTATGGCAATGAATGGAATTCATTGAATTAATAATCTATCCGGTTACGCCATTGTAGGAGAGAGCGGTTGAAGCAACTATGCCCCGAAGGTTACCGTGCAGCCACAAAATGAGGAGGCAACCATAACCTAGACCCGGAGGCGGACCCGGAGGAATAAAAGGGCACGAGTAGAGTGGTGGCCACCACACCGACCAACCCCACCACTATCAAGATCTCGCGGGCCAAACATGACCCATGAGGACACCACAACTCCTCGCTCTGTCGCCCCACCGCTGCAGAGACCGTTTTGATGGACATATCAGTTACCTCTCCCGATTCTTCTCACAAAAAAAGAATCTCCCATTGCAACGCACGTGCATATGTGCTAGTCTTTTACAAAAAAAAGATATGAGATAGAGAGGGTTAGGGGATGAATATGTGCAAGGGATAAATTTTCTTTCCTTGATGTTTTTTTGCGGGGATCTTCCTTGAAATATGTGTGACCCAAGAAAGTTGGTTGTCGGCATGATTTGGCAATTAGATTCCAAATCATCTGAATTTAATTAAAATGGGTTTGAAATAGGTCAAGGTTTTAGAAGTGTCCAAAATTTATGGAATTTTGGTGGAGCTTGGATAAATGCAACAAGAGTCAGTGGCAATGTTTGGAGAGCAAACTTCAAGTAGTAAATGCATAGGATTTGGAGAAGTTTGGAACGGAAAAGGAAAGCACTTAAATTTAAAATATAGAAGGGGGGCTCAGATTAAATTCTGAAGATGTTTATAGTTTTTAAAAAGGTATATTAAATGGCAATATGACATGATGCAATGCAAAGGTAGCATAGGGCAAACAATGTAATAATTATATTATGACAAGAAATCTAGAGAACTAGTCTAGATTCATGAAATCACTTTTATGGCCACGTGAAAAAATAGAAAAAGACACCTAAAATCTTGAACCATGTGAGATATTTTTTCCCATTGCAATGCACGGACTCTTTTGCTATGTATATTTAGGCATGAATTATATTGAATCATCAAATATATATAGGCTCCATTGCAACACACAGGCTTTTTTGCTATCTTTCCCTAATAATAAAGCACAGATTGACTCCGTGGGTTCACCGTCACAATACGTTTCTTCCCGTGAATTTACGCTTTTAGTTTTTTTTTCTTCAACACGTCTCTATTTATTTTCTATATCCAAGATGGTACTAATCTATATATCCCCCGCTGCGTTGTTGTTTTCGTCCGCCCCATTGAGGTGATATTTTTTGTCCTATATATGTTGACCACTTGGAGTCTTTTCGTTCGCAAGCACTCCCAGTCTCCCCGCTCGTGTTTGTTTCCTACACGAGACACCAATCTCCACAACCCTGGCTGTCGTCTCTAACCCTCCAATAAATACTGACTCATGAAAGAGAAGGCAAAAGGTGGATCCGAAGGTAGAATTGGACTAGCTGATGGAGCCATCGGACGAGAGGAGGCATACGATGAGGAAAATTCCACAGGGTGCTTTGTCCCTCATGCCGACCGTGAGCGAAAAGGGTGGAAGAGGAGGGCTAGGTGGCAAACCTTGGGAACAGTTGAGAAGCGAGTCTCAGAGCCCTATGGCACTTTTTGGCAACGCTCGGGACCGTCCGTCGCCTACGCGCCCGCCTAATCTATCGAGGGAATTAGCAGTTCCCGATTGGAGAGGAGGAAGAAGGGAACACGAGGACAAGACAACCGAGACATCCGTTGTCTAGCAGCAGACAATGGGTTTGACGAGGACAACGGCTGTGCTGGTGTGCCGCATGCGTCCGGTAACTGTGTCCGGCGAGCGTGACGTGCGATGCACGCTCATGTGCACCACTCCGGCGGCAAAGCATGCTGGCCGGCTGCATGCGTCTCCGCCGTCATGTGCGTGGCGTGTGTCCAGCGTGTTGGGCTTGGTGTGCATAAGTATCTGATGGTCTGCTCTCTACACAAGCCACGGTCCTTCGACATCAATAACAACATGCATCAGGAAGGAAGCATCCCTGGGTTTTTTTTGCTTGCTTCTGTGCTCTGGTATGCATCTCTAATTGTGTGGTTGCATAGTAGGAGACGAGGGGTGGGTTGTGACTTGAACATATGATCTGGTCATATTGGTGTCATTTGTGAACTAAATTGGCTATATTTCTTTGAGTTAAAAGAAGCACGGAATAGATATAAATAATAAACATAGGAAGTAACATGGGGGAGAATTCAGAGTCATAGCTTCAGTTCAGGGTATCGAGCATATATTTTACAAATTCTTTTTTTCATGGAATATATTTACATATCAATTCAAACCCAGGAAGCATCAAACATGTTAATATGAATTCCTCCAAGAAAAGATAAGTGTCTATAATTTTTTCCCGATAAAATACGTTTTGATGCGAGTTCCACACAAAAAAATATTTCCTAACTAAAAAATATGAGCAGATTATGCTTGCTGCATTATTATTTTTGAATAGATGCTTACTGCAACTATCGCACTCGATTGGTTACCTTGCTGCGGCTATTACTTTAGATTTGTTGACATCGCTATTTACTTCATGTTCTACTTTTAAATTTTAGAATGTACCAATAGTTACCTAAAGAATGAATTAACAATAAAGTTACGCTCTTCAGTCAAATCAATTTACTGGGAATCATACCCATGCATGTCCGGATCAACGATCCATCCATTGCCTTATGGCATAGTTGCTCGACCTGGCCCACTCACATGAACTATATATAAAGCAAAGATCATCAACAACCCCCTCAGTCGCGTGCGGGGCGACGCGAGGGGGAGGAGGAGAGGTTCCACTTTCCCCCTTCCATCCCGAGTCAACTAGTAATGGTGTGTGGTCTGAGATCGCCGTCTTCATCCCATGTACCGACACTAATGGGTACTTTTGTTACCATTCCCCACTAGCGAGCACCCTATCCAACTTCTCATATGTTGGATGGGTAACGTATTGGCCCATGTAAACTGCCTACATGTGAGTTCAATCTCTCGCAAACTAAAACTCTCGATAATCATGTTAAACATCATGGACCAACGTCCATCAAAGTTATCATTATTCTTTTCATCTCTTCTTCGAATTATATTAAAATCGCCTTCGACTAGGATTGGAAGAGTTTCATCCCACAAATCCGCACCAAATCCGCTAGAAAATCTGCTATAAATTCGGGTTGTGCTGCTCCATATACAGCTACGAGAGACCATCAGAAACCATCCAACTTTGATTTCACTCGGAACTTGACCGCAAAGGCCCCCTGAACCACACTAATTACCTTAAGCGATTCGCACCTAACCCCCATTCAATATCCCACGGATCTTCCTCTAGGAGGTAAACAAATGCCAATCAAAATCAATTTGGCTGGATAAAGTTTCAAGGAACTGTGAGGTGAAATTATCTCGCCCTGTTTTGAGTAGTGCAATGAAATCTAGTTTTTGCTCTACCGTTGTGTGTGCTAAGAACCTTCTTTTACCCAAGTCAACTAGTCCTCTGCTATTCCAATAAATTTCCGAAAAACATAATCCCTCAAAAATAAAACAACTAATTACAGACATAACAAGTGAGTCACAATGACATCTAACAAATCAATAATTTTTACAAACATAGTCCCGCAAAAATAAAACAACTAATTACAGACATAAGCTCCTTAAAGAATTTCACAGGAAATGAAACTGTGCACTAAATCGGCAATGCTACATGTACAAACGATTTACAGGCTTTTACAGGATGGTTAACCTTGATTGGTCAATAGTTGAGCGGGGCGGCCCACCCCTCTAAAAATCAGGGGGGGAGAGGTTTTGTGATTGGTTGTTAGATGAAAGGAGCGTGTAAAAGCGTGTAAGTCTTTGTATGTCTAGCATTTTTGGCTCTAAATTATCTTCTGCTAGTAGTAGTACTGAAAATCGCAGGCGCGTAGACCCGCTCCGATCATGGCCTTGCAGGCAAGCACCTGACGGTCATACCGCGGTGCCATCACCACAACGTCAAATGCCGCGTCGCTCCGCTCCAGCTCTGCCGCGAGGCGGTCGCGCACGAACCGTGGCACCGCCACGTCGACGCCACGCGCCGTGATGTTGGCTCCGCGCCCTTGACGAGGTCCGACGTATAGCTCCGGCAGCAGGGGCCCTTCTGCTTCCGCCAGTAGCGCGCCGCCGTAGGACACGGCAATCTTCGCCTGGTGGCCACCGATGCACGCTCGATAGTAGCTGTCGTCGAGCAACTCGATGTGGACGGTGAGGTTGAACACGGGCGAGAGCCTCGGCCGCCGGTCGAAGCTCCTGAGGTCCCGCGCTGGGTCCAGCCCTTCAGCGCCGGTGATGGCGATCGAGTACTCGGGCTCGGTCGGCACGGTTGCGGCCAAGAGAAGACCCCCAAGCAAAAGAAGGAAACAAAATAGTAACGCAAGACCAACCAGCTGCACCACCTCTCGACAGGACATCCACGGCTGCCGGAGTTCTCCAGTTGTCCTCGCTGTTTGTGCTCCCTTCAGCGGGAGTCGCTGGTCCGGCGATGCGTCCGCGGCCATGCTCGTAGTTTGACCGATCGGGAAAACCCTCGTGCGTGCGTGATCGCTTCTGTCCTGGTTTCCTACAAGTCTATATCTTCGTTATATAGCCGCCGATCGACGCCAAAGACTTCATATCCCACAAGAAAGACAATTGTTATCATTTACGAACACTACCCCACGGCTCATAGATTTTTAGGTGACCACGGTTCATAGTCACAGAGACACCTGTGATCTCAAAACTGCATTATTTTCCTGAAAACGATTAAAATTGACCGACTGATCCAACAGCTTCCTAAACCGCCTCGCTTGATTGACGCGTGTCCCGCTTGGGCCCAGCCGCGCGCACGCAGTCTGCCAACCGCTCAAACCTTATCCCCTCGTTCTTTCTTCCCCTTCGTCTCTTCTTTTTTTTTAGAAAAGAGGAGGACCCCCGGCCTCTGCATCTGGACGATGCATACATCCATTTTATTAATTATTCTCACAAGACCTTACAAAGTCATACAACAATAAGACTAAATCCACCATTTAAGTAACAACTGTCGCTACACCTATCCAATTGATGAAGGGGCGCTGATAGCCTGGGTCTAATACCAAACACACATCACAGTCAGACCTAATATCTAAGACCTGAGGTCCCAACTAGGACGCCTACCGGGTATGGGCACCCAACAGTCCGTCGTGCTCCTCAACCAGGACGCCTGCCGGGTATGAAGCCGTTGCAACCACTTGCCACCAAGCCATTTTCAGAGCTGTACTGCTGCATCAACCTTGCCCGATCTATCTGCCGCCGACGCCACCACGACGCTAGACAGTGTCGACCTCCTGCGCGTGTCCATCACCACACATCTGACGCCAAGCCTCCGCTGCTCCATGCTGCCAAGAGCCGCCGCCATGAATATGTAGGACGAAACACCGCTCCACCGAAGAAGCCATCCGCTGGTCCCTCGAGCCCGAGTGCATCTCCAAGAATGCCGCCCCCAAGGGGGTAACGACACATGAAGGCCGGGCGCCTTCGTCTCTTCCTATCCATCCACATCTCGCTTCTTCGTCTACCTCACAACGCCAGCAAGCCAGCCAACGCACTTGTGCGCATGGAGACGCCGGAGGCGATGCCCGGCCGCGCCTTGCTGCAAGCTCTCGCCGCACGGCTGTGCCTTGCTGCAAGTTCTCGCTGCCCGGCCGCGTGCTGCCGTTCCTATGGCTGCATTGAAGCATCCGTTGGCACCGCCGCGTGCCGTCGCTGCATCCTCCGTCGCCGCCACGCGCTACGTTGCAGCATCCGCCGGCGCCAGTGCTGCCATGGAGCTCGCCAGGCACGTTACTGCAGCGTATCATCACCGGACCGCCGGAGCTGCATTGAAGCGCCGTGGGGTCGTTGAGGCTTCGTTGGGGTTGCGATGAAGCA